AAGTATCTGAAGGGGGAGTGTCAAGAGGATGAGGCCAGCCTCTTCTCCGTGGTGCCCAGCAACAGGACAAGAGGCAATGGGCAGAAACTGAACCACAGGAAGTTCCATCTGAACCTGAGGAAAAACTTCTTCACTGTGAGGGTGACAGAGCACTGGAACAGGTTGCCCAGAGAGGTGGTGGAGTCTCCTTTGCTGGAGATATTCAAAACCCGTCTGGATGTGATCCTGGGCAATGTGCTCTAGAGGTCCCTGCTTGAGCAGGGAGGTTGGACTAGATGATCTCCAGAGGTCCCATCCAACCTAAACGATTCTGTGATTCTGTGATTCTGTGATATTATGGAATAAAAAGAAATTACAGTATTCACCACACTGGAATGGAGGGAAAGTACTCGAGTAAGAATCAGTGATATGCTCCTATGAGGAGACAATACTCTGTTTCCATATTGTTTGAACAGAGCAACTTAAAACTACTTTAATTAGAAATGTTTGGTTAGACTCTCACAGGGTAATGCGAGGTAAAGGGGCATTGTGCTTCTAAGTACACGGTATAAATCTTCTCTAGGTAGGCAAAAGAGAAGCAAAATGTCTCAAGAAAGGGACATTTGACAATTACCTCGAGATGGGAAAGAGGAGAAAAGGATGGAAAAGTGGACAAAGATAGAAATGTAAAAATTAAAATAAATAAATAAATAAAGGTTTAAAAAGATTTAGAGAGTCACTGCTCTTTCTTAACTGATTCTTGGAAGAAATGTAAGCCTTTGTCCTTGCAATGTTATTTTCTGAACCTGTCTCCTCGTTGAACACAGTATCTCCTTGCTAGGCAGTTGGCGTCTGAATACAGAACTTGTGGCCCAGACTTTCAATAACAGAAGTCTGAGCTATCTTTCTCTCAAGAATGTTATATTAGCTTTTTCCTTTTCTGTAATATCCAGCGAAATATACTTAATTCTGTCCAAACTGACAGAAACTCCAGGCTCAGGACTCTCGTTCAGCTTCCAATTTTGGCACTCTGCTCTGAGCATTCATCCTTTTTTACAAACAGTGCATAACCCAAAACAAACTATCAACAAAAATGGTGAGTCAAGAAGTCCCATTATAATACCTCAAAATAATATATTCATTCTTAAAAATTCTCATAAGACTTTAGTATCCAAATCAGACAATTTCTAAATAAAGAGAAGTTCAATCAGGAATAATAGTCTGTAATTTACATTTTAAAATTAAAGATTCCTTTCCAAATTCTGATTACTTTTCTTTTTTTAAAAGAATATGCTGTTTGTTTTACCTTAACCTTTGGTCTTTCTCCTTAGACTACCAGAAAATGCTCTCTTTTGATAGTGTTTTATATAACCTGGTAACTTTTTTCCAAAAGCTAAATGAATCTACCAATTTATTTTACACAGACCACTGGACAGCTACTAAATAATGACAGATTTTGGCCTGCACAGACCTGACCTAGATCTGAGCTCTTTCAATCCAGGGGAAAGATGCTTAGCATCCAGTCCCCAGTAATTCTCATATAGGAGCCAGTCTATGTATGAATGCTATGAAACCTTAATTGATGAAAAGTTCTGCCACTTCCTGACTGAAGAAAGACATTTCTCTGTCTCTGGTTTATGCCTCTCCTCACTGCTGCCTCGGTTGTTGCCATACACATTCAGAGCAGCTTTTGCTTGAGGCATGCAGCGAGAAATGAGTGGTGTAGCTGGCAGCACACCTCTGGTTTCCAGCTTTGATTGCACACCAGGGACTATGAAACACAGGCTCTTAGTTTAGCAATCTCTAAAGCTTCCTTTTTACTCCGCTGTTGATTGTGCCAAAAGAGGAGGGTAAGCAGAGGAAGATACGAAATGGCCATGCAACTTGAGAAAAAAAATAAAAAATCTGTCATGTATATAGATTCAGTATTATTTCGTTTTTGTTTTTGTTTTTTCTGAAAGCCATAATCTTACTATGAAAGAAACAGAGAAAGGAGTACAAATAGCATACAGGGATTAGGCATAGCAAAATTGCAGTGTGTAATGGTGAGGAGCAAGGGTTCCGCAATGTAATTTAGGAAGCAAACTGTCTCACTGTTTACTTTCAAAGGATGTCGGCCAGTCATCTGCTCTCCCTACCCTTACTGATAGCCATTGTAAAACAGATGATAGGGTTTTTTTTCTAATTTTAAAAGTCAACTAGTGTATTTCAGAGCCATGAAGGCAGTGGTGTCTAGCACAGATCTGCAGTATGTCATAATCCTGCTAGAAGGAAGAAAGGTAGGGGCAAGATTGAAGAATTTCCTCAGACTTTGCTTCTCTTGACCCTGCAGAACCGCCTCTACTTGAGAAGACTCTTGTGGAGAAGTGCTTTGCATTTCTAAACAAACACAGCAATACGCATCAGATGATAGTGTATGTGCTCTAAAGAAACTGTCAGAAGGAAAGCTAATGCCATTCTCCCTACTCCAAAAAATTGTTATGTTTGCCGCTGTCCCAAAGAATAACACCTAGGCTCCTCTGCCTAAGCCTCGACCTACACCAGCAAGATTTGACACCTCGAATTGCCTACCTTACATGTATTTCTCTGGGGGTCAGTGCACACCTGGCTTTTATGCTGATATTCTTGCATATGTTACCAGCATAAGCAGTCAGGTACACACACCGTGGTTTTAATTCTGATACTACAATGCCCTGTCAATAAAACTCTCCATGCCCTATATGCCAGTTTCTTTGCCACTGAGTTTTGCAACGGGTATGTCTGCCACCTGCTTTCAAAGCAGATCTTGCTCCAAATCCTCTTTGTTTTTTTCTCTGACCCGGTAATATTTTCTGGCCTCCTAGCATTTAGGGGTTTTAAAAACCATGGTCCCCTACAGTTTTCCTCTGCTCACCATCAGCATGGCTCCAGTGGAGGTCCTAGGTATGTTTTAGACACAACTTTTTTTCTATTCATGCAAATGAAAAGATAGCCCTGATTTCAGCAGCTGGAAGTGTGATGGACAGGACACAAGTCTTTTTAAGAAAAAAAGTGGTTGAAAGAGCCACTGTGCAGACACGGTGGGCACTGGTTAGCATACCTGGCCAGCTGCTCTTCAAGGGTCGTACCTCCAAGCCAAGAAATGGTCACTCAGAGGAGGGTAGGGTGTAAAAGTGGGATTGTTAAGAGTAACTGGAAGAATTCCAACTAAAGAAAAAAACCCACACACTCCCAGAGCTGTTTTCAGTTGGCTATAGTGCACTCGTGTAACTCACCAAAATGAGATCTTTGACAGCAAAAAATCGAGCGGTGGCTACACAGTCTGGAAATTCAAAACACTAGTTTGTAATCATGTATTAAGCAATAAGTCTCAGGCTGAAAAATCCGTAGTGCAAGCAGTCACCATCTAACCATGACACATCGCTCCATGTGAGCAGGACTGAGCCTCAGTGATGAGCTAGGCACAATGGCCTGCCTGTACAGGGTGCTTATCACATTTCCATCCCTTTCCCATTTGCCGCTGAGCACATAAATACAGAAAGCAACTACTCCATATTTCTGCAAGCACTGTCAAGAAACCAGAAATATTACAGTGATAATACCAATGGCTGGTTTGGAAAGATGAATGGCACTCATGTCTTTAAGAGTTTTCTAAGAAAAAAAGTCTTTCCTGGTTCATGCATTCACACTGCTAGAACAAAAATACCAATAAATCTGAACCTTGGATGGTGATCACAGGAGCAACAGCAAGGAAAGCACCAAATACTCTCTGAGCAAATGCAGTAACATCACTACTCACTGTTCTTTGGGCAAGGCCTCATGGTCGTCTAGATCTCATCAGGTCCAATACTCTCAGCATTTCTGCATGCTGCAGTGTCTTTAGAGGAGTGCTTTGTCAGGAAGATGACAGTTGGATGGTGACAGGCTGATCTTGAGGAAGGGCATTTATTAGTCAGCTGTCAAGCTGTTAGACTAAGATATGCTTTAAAAGATCACTTTAGTGGTGTGCTTTAAAAAATGTTTTTATTATTTGTTCAGCCTGAATTATAAATATTAATCATATATGAAACACTATTTCCTCCTTGAGAGGAAAACCTGGGTAATGGTTTAATACATACCATTACACAGTGCATGCATTTTGTACCTGTCCAAAAAAAATTGAGTGCGAAAAAGCAAGTAAAATGAATGAAGCTCAATTATTCCATGAAAAATAAATACAGAACTGTGTAATAGTCTGAAGAAAACAATATTCAAAAAATTTTGTTATCATATTAAACTTTCGAAAAGTAACAAAGGGGTTTGTGCTAAAAAAGTTTTTTGTGAATTGGTTGAAAACAATGAAAATTATTGAACAATATTTTCCTCGAATTCAAAAAATGTAGGAATGTGAGTGGAGTGAAACCTGCTTTTGAAGGCAGGTTTACTCAAAGGTTTACCACCATCCTTTTTTCTCCACTTGTCTAGTGCACAGTTGTTAAAGACACTGACTATATTGTTTCCTGCCCTAGAAAATGGGCATGGTAGCACAAAGAGTGAATATATTTTGCACAATTGTGCAAAAGAAGTGAAGGAGACGGTTTGGGGGCATTTCACTCTGCACCTCTGATGGTGTGGTGTCTTCAGGGCACTGTCCTCTGCTTCTTTCTGTCCTCTGCTCCATCTGCAGCAGGTCTTCTGGTTCCTCTCTCGTGCTGGATCCTCCCAGTTCTCTGTTGCTCACTCATAGCTTTCTTTGGTGCTTTGTGATCTGAATCAGTTTTTCAAAGTCTGTGACAGTTTCCTGACAAAGACACTGATCAAGAAAGGCAATGGGATTGTTCAAGCCAGCAAAATAACCAGATAAAAGTTCCCTTGCCCCCCCTTTACCTGGTCCCCCGTAAAGATTCTTTCATTGATACATAGAAGATCAAAGTTTTTCTTTCTTTTATTTTAGAACTGCTGCAAAGCCACAGGGTTTGTAGGCTGCACAGAGATTTTCTTACTTCCCAGCCACAAGCAGAGATGCTGGTGGAAGGCGTTCAAAGCTACTGATATTTTGGTAAGGAACAATTTAAGAAACTTATTACCAGTGGTATGGTCAAGGCTGCAGTTTTGCCTGTGAGAATGTTTTCCTGGCCTATTTGCTACTGTGAAACGGTCACGATGGATTTCATTGCATATTTATATGGGAAAGTATCTTGGGGCACAGAACCACATCCACATTTTCTAGAAATCCCAAGAGAGTAACTGCTAGACTATCTGAGATGTATGTCTAAAGTCCAACAAGATTCTTGACTCAGGACTTGAAGACGTTTCTCACTGCTTAGTAGTACAAGCCAAAAAAGCAACTCCCTTTCCTTCTTCCTGCCTCTGTGCCAACTACTTTAGCTGTAACTCTTTCTCAGCGTGATTTATAAATGGTTCATTTGGGACCATTGGGATTTTAATATAATATAATTACGATATTTCTTTTTAGAAGCAGAAAAAGATTGCTTCATCAAAGTACAGTTTTCAATTAGGTAATTGTATATTTGCTCTAGTGCTTGAGTTGGCAGTGGTTAGGTACAACTTTGCTGGCAGGGATATGACTGGCTTGTTGCTGTTTATGGTGTCAGTGTTCTACCAGTTGACTCCAGAACTGTCTGGAGCTATATATAAAGCATAAATATAAATAATAAACAAAGTAATGAATAATAAATGTGAATAATACAAATAGGAGAGACTAGTAAAAGAAAATGATTAAGAGTCCATACCTTTGTTCTCTGAGAAACCCTTTCACTTTTAGAGAATGGTAGAGTATTGGTCTCTTTTGTTATAAACATGCATTCCCTATGGCGTGTCCACAAGAGAGAGCTTTTTTTGTCCCTCCTTCCTTAGATCCCTTTGTTGCTCTTCTTTTTGGTTCTATACACAACAGCTGTTCCACTTCAACTTCCTCCCCTTTCTCTTCTCCTTCATATACATTTCTATAGCTGCTATCCCTGTTCATACAAGACACATGGATTAGAAGTCAAGGTGGCTCTGTCCTTCTCTGGTATGCAAGTCTCTGTTGAAAGGCCAAGTCCCTGAAGCAGTTCCAGATTTTATTTTCTCTGCTGTCACCTTGGAAGGATGGGAAAATTTTCTTTACCTTTCCCATTTATTCAAAACATGTGCTTCTCATTCTCTTCATAGTCCTAACATATCATCTCTGCAGTGACTGCTGTGTCTGAAACTGTCCCATGATTTATTCTACAGACCAATAGGGTCTTTCCTGGATCTGGCAAAAATAGAAGGGTTAGCTAGTTTTCTCAGTTTAGGTAATGCTACCTTTACCTCATTAGAAAATGAGTTTTTTAGCACTTAAAAGAGAAAAAGTTGTTTTCTGAACTTTAAATGTGAAGGAAATGGGAAAACTGAGACTGAGACTTCTGGTCACTTTGACCCTTAGGCGGTTAGTTCACTAGTAGGATCTAGTCACTGAGCAAGAGCAAAATTCATGTGTGATAGTAAGAACTTCTTGAACCAAAACAGACAAAGTAGCAATTAAAATTTGTTTTTTCTTGTTGCATGTCAGCTGAGGGCTTTTGAGCAACAAAGGTGGTTTTATCTCACTGAAAAGCCTGGTTGCACCTTGCTGGATTGTGTTATGTGGAGACACGTACAGACCTACAGCAACAACAGTCAAGATCTGTCAACAGATCTTGAGGCATACAGCAGGGCATCAACAAGCGTAGTCACAATACCTACACTTTGTGCCCTTAAATCTGTAGTTTGTGACTTTGCATAGAACAGCCTCATAGTCTGGGCTTCCCACTGCCCTGGGAGTCACTCTCAAAGCTTCTATTGGAGCTGGATTGGGCCCTATAGATAAATCCATCAAAGTGCAATGTTCCCCTTATGCTCGGTAGGATTTTTAGAAACCTGTCTAAGCAAGTGTTGAAAAACAAAGGCATCCTTTCAGTAGTCTCACATAATATACAGTTAGTTTTTTTTTTTTTTTTAATGGTCTTAAAATACTCCTGCATAGCATCCACTGAAAGCACTAGGGAAAAAAAAAAGAAACTACAACAACCCTCAAAACCTTGTTTATTGAATGTCAGACTGAGAGCTGTTATTGACCGAGGGGAATTAAGGTTTATTCAGGGTGCCAAGTAATTATAGAAGTGACATTAGATCATCATTTACACTCAAAGTATAGTCATGAATGACAATGTCTGCTAAAACAAGGACGAATGAGAAATAGCCCACAATTTATAATATTCCTGAGAAGCATTGCACAGGGGGTAAGTAAATGAGGTTCGTCTGGTCCTGGAAGCTGCACTGGAAATTACCACCTGCTGTTCTCAGTGGCAGTTTAACACTAATACGGGAATCCCTGAGCCAAAGCAATAAAGCAACAGCAAATGTTGTTTTCTGTTGTGTGTCTTTTCAGTTAGGTAACGAATAGAGGAAATTACAGAAGAGACCTCTTAAGCGGAAAGCTTTTATACTCAGCAAATGTACTTCTTTATCAGGGAACTGTGTAATAGAGTTTTGCAAAACTTGCAACACTTGCTTAAATTGGTACAAGTTATTCATTTACAGGTCAGGTATCAGTCCCCTTTGCACATTTTCCACACAGTTTTTCCAGAGTAAATGTCAACATCTGCAAACTCATCAACTAGAAAGATGAGAATTCCTCAAATTGGAAATACTTAGCGGTCTCCGTAAGTATCAATGTGTTCTCCTTGTCTTACTCAGATCCTTAAGTAAAACCAAATTCAGATCCAGAAACATTCAGTAAAAAATATCTTTCTAAAAATGTTCTGTGTTAGGACAAACAATGGGGTTTTTGACATGACATTCCAGCTTTAGGAAAGGAAGGCTAAAGGGAATTTTTGAAGGTCATTAAGAGACGATCATCAATGTAGTCTTCCACTAGATAAGACTTCTCTAGACAAGACCATTTTACAAAAGTATTACTAAGAAGTCATACTGATGGGTTAATGGAGTCTAGCTGTTAAAAGATCAATGAAGACAGGAGAGAGGAGCACAGGAACATGCAAATTAACCCTCTCACTGCAGCTTGAACAGAGATCTCTGTATTTAACGAGATAATTGATCTCTCAAGGAAAAGAAAATAGCAAAGCACTTTGCTAACTTACCAGTCAAAAGGTAAGGAGGAGAGAATTGCTTTCAGGTGGAGTCAATTTTTCAGCTTGCTTTTTTTTCTGTATCCAGACTGAAAATGCCTGAAGTAGTTCAGCTTAGAAAAAGGGTACCCATAGCTAAGTAAACAGTTTGAATTTCATCTCCCTACCTTTTAAAATTGGCTTTCTTCATGCTAAACTTTCTGAAGCAAAAGCCATTTCATATAGGTGTTCTGGAAAATACAAAACTTTGCAATTCTTCTATTTACTAGAAGCTCTTCTTCTCCTTCAGGTAGGCTATAGAACGGCACAAAGGGCAAAATGGAGAGAAAAGCTGAAAAAAAAATGAAGGAAGAGATAAGAGAAAACAGCGATGTGGTTAATGAGTACCTTTTTAGGTGTATTCATGCCAATTAGGCATCTCTGCAGGCACAGAAGTAGCTAAACAATTATATGTAATTTACAGTCTGTAAATTTCTAATTTTCATCCTTATTTATATGTGTATTCTGTGAATGCACAAATATCCGTAAACATTCACACTCACATAATTGCTAATCTGTCCCACATTATATATTTTGTATGCTATATTCAAGCCACATATTTCAGGGTCTGCACTAGAGATTTCCTTATGTGACCAAGCTGTCATTCTCGAGATTTAAGTCAAAATGCTGAGTAATGGCCTACTAGAATTTCACCTGGAAGAGAAGATATGAATAAATATTTGTCAACCAAGAGTTATTGCATTTACTGGAAATAAAACTTTCCACTTTTTCTCCTATTGCTATTTATAGTTAAAAGGTAAAGAATAAAAACTGTACTAAAGTTATGATGTAAATGAGTTTTTAATGTCCTGCTGTTTGCAGATGAATCTGCTATTTCTGATAAGCTTCTACCCTAATTCTCTGCTTTTGAGGAGGAGTATGATATTTAAACATACAGAAGTGTAACTCTTTACTTTTGTTCCTGAGGATAAAATTAATAGCAATTTTCATTTTTTGGTTGTAGCTAGGCACTTTTTAGGCCACACCTGGAATACTGTGTCTGGTCTTACTCCCCCCCAGTTTAAAAGAGACACTAAAAAGTTGGAGAGGGTCCAGCCACTAAAGTCAATAAGAGGGTTAGCAAGCTTGGCATACAACAAAAGTTGTAAGGAATGGGTTTGTGAAGAGAAAGCTTGCGAGAGAGCTGATCACAGGCTTCCACTACCTAAAAGGTAGACCAGTACCTACAAAGAAGACAGTAATACTGCTAATATTGAAGACAGGACTGGAAGGGCTATGGATAATGTGATCTAAGGCCTTGCTTTCCACAGGAGATTGCAGTGAATGATCCGCAGAGGTCTCTTCCAAACTGTACTTTCCCATGATTCCCTGATCCTCTGATTCTGTATCTAATTAAGTGGTACTTCATTGAATATGAAAATAATTGGAACTTGCTCTTCTTTTGCCAATAAAACCTGTAAGCCAAAGGTTGCCGTATTTTGACTGGCTTCTTCTGCCTGTGTCTGCAATGGGAACCATGCACTTTGCAGTGTAACAGGGACAGCTGCAGTGTCTTGTATGGAGTTTGTGCAGGAGCTGTGAGAAGGGACATGTCAATGGATGTAGCAAGGAAAACAGGCATGCCAAGTAATCAAATGTCCGCACCACAGTGATGGAAGGAAAGAAAGGACTGGAAAGTGCAATTCCCTGATATTTTCATAAAACCAATGTTTACCTCAACCTATTTATATCCTGAAGCAAATGAAATGGAATTAAAAGATATGCTTATGCATTTAAAAAGAAGGGAAGGAGGAGGGAAATGACAGAGCAAAGGAGAGGGAACAAGGATTAAGATGCATGTGTGGAGCTGAAATCCTATTGCTGTTTTCATGCTGATCACCACACACCTGTGCTGCTTCTTAAACACAAACACATTGCAGGGTAGCACAGCTATTAATGTCCAAATCAGCATCTAAGAACACTAGGTCCTCATCTGCTAAATATTTATACATAAAGGAATGTCTATCCACTATGTTTTTAGCTTATTGTTTGTATTTTACCCCAATTAATTATTTTCTCTTGTTGATACATTTCATTTTTTCCATTAGTAGAATATCTAAGACTAAATGTGCAAAAAATTGCAAGAATGTAATGCATGAATTTTACCTGAGTTCTGTGTTTTGTTTAAAAGGGGGACATCAGGACTCTTCTCATACTTTAATTCAATATTGTTTCTGTGGTTCCAAATGTTGCTCATTACAATGAACCAAAGGAGGGAAAAGATCTTATAATGGGTAAAATTTGGGGACTCAATAGTTGGTTATTATTAAAGCCTGGGTTCAATCCATCTTCAATCATCATCGGATTTGTGCATCTGAGCAAAATGTAAATAATCATTGTTAGACACAAAATTTACCATGACACACCAGTAATAAATACAGTGCTGTAGTGGACACTGAAATAGCTGTTCCAAACAGCTTAAATATTCCAGAATCAAGGCATTTATACTCCAAGATTTAGATTAAAACTCTCAGTCTTTCCAATACCTTGGCTGACTCCTAGGAAAAGAAAAAAGGGCTTTTCTGCTACGACATGACGGTGACAAACAGATCAGGAAGCCAAATACCCACAGTGAGGCATGCTTTTGACACCAGATAGTTGATCCACCTGAAAAAAATGCTAGTGGGAGTGATCTGTGTGCAAAACTACTGGAAAAATACATGTTTACTTTAACAGATTTAAGATTTTAAGTGTCCATTTGCAGTAGTAACTTTAGCACATAATAACAGTTGAGAGGTGTACTTCTTGGGGGAATTACAGTGTTAGTTAGACAATATCCGTTTAATGACAACTACCTTAGTCTCAAATTCTCTTTTTCTGACCTGTGCAGATTAGGGACTAAGTCCATTACTTTTAGCAAAGTTAAAGAAAAATAAAACGCTTATATATTTTTTTCTTTAAGAATAATAGCAATAAAATTGCAGCATATAAGCCAGCATTGTTTTCTGCTTGGAATAAGAGAAGTAGGGTTATGTTTTGGAGCCGACTCGTCTCTAAAATATTAATGTATGCCTATTTTCTGACAAGCACTGCTAACATGAACAAATCATCATTCCAGCTAGGAACAAAGATAACCTCTGCAAATAGATTTTACATCTGGACATTTATATTTTAGCACAGAAGTAATTTCATATGAAAATCCTGCAGTAGCAAATGTAGATGAGTCTTTGAAGGTTCTTCTGGAAAGCCATAATTTCTATTAATCTTAAATGAAATAGACTGTAATAGTTTAATAGATATATAGAACTGAGTTAAGGAATTTTACAGCTTATTTATACTTCTCAGCTAAATTCCATGTATTGGTGAATAAAGCCAAACAAAATATATATTTTTTTAAATTAATTAGTGGGAAGAGACGTTTTCTACGTATGATATGCAAGGTTCATGGATTTCTATGAAGCCCACAAAAAGTGACTAAGAAAGCAATTTCATACACGTAAGTTTTGGTGCACTTGTGCTAGAAGTCCTAAATTTCTAAAAGTCCACTTTTCTATTGGAAAGTTAGCACTGATCCACAAAAAAGCTATAAACTATTGACTCAGGTTCTGCTGCACAATGTCTGATTACAGCTTCTTCCTCCATTAGCCTGTAGGATAGCCTTGTTATAAACTTTAGGAGAGCAAGAGATAAAACAGCCATATTGTGTCACATTTCCATTTAAGAGTAGGAAGTGCCAGCAGAATGCTTGCTCAGGTGATATCCATAACTGCTCACATACTTACAATTATGGCTAGGTCTGTGTAAATTTCCTTTTAGGTCACATATACAGTACTTACCAGATTTTACCTGTTATGAGACAGGTATAAAATTAGGCATTTCCCAATAGCTTGACACACAGATCACACCTACTACTGCACTTTGACAGGTAGATCAATTATTCAGTGTCAAAGGCATGCTGCTTTTCAGAAATCCTGCTTTCTGATCTGTTTGAACACCCACGTTGTAGTAGAAATTCTCCCCCCCACCACCACCTTGGAATATAGACGAAGTGTTGGAATAATCTTATGTGTTTTGTTTAAGGTTGGATTTTTGTTGGTGTTTTTTTTTCCCCTTGTGATGGCTGAATGTAGTAATACTTGCAGGGGAAAAATGTGGCTTAAAGGCGCTGTTTTGTATGATTCCATGGCAGAAAGTGCAGTTACTAATTTAATTAAAACTCACTTATATATGCTGTCATAACTATACAGACTTATCCAGAGCTCTAAAAGCTCCAGGGACTGTACAGATTTTTACAGCCAAGTAAATTTCATTGCCAAGATTCACTGCAAATTAATTCTCTCTCTCTCTCCCTCTCTTTTTTTCTTTTTGAATTTGTCTCTTTCCCGTCTACCTTTACCCTCATGAGAAAGGAAAAATAAGCAATAAACTTGTTTTGTTGTAAGGAATGGTATTTATTATTATATTCTGTTTTACCTCATCTCCTGCAATATAGAGATATACAGAAGTAACAGATGGAGAAAGTCACTTTAATATGCAATGTGAGTCATTGCTCTGTAAATAACATTTTATTTTATTTTATAAAGCTTATCTTAAGAATTGATCAGATCTTACACTTATCTGTAGCTTCAGAAAGGTGAATAGTGATATATCACAAACACTTAATGATTTGTTGTCAGGCTAAAAACTTTCCAATTATCCCCGGAGGCCCATTAAGTGTCTGAAGAGGCTACTGACATCTTCTTTGAAGTCATTTTTTTTCCAGAAGCCTTGCCATTAAAAATACTGTCAGGGTGTCAGGACTGTAGTTTGGTAGAAACGTCCCCAAAGATACACACACGAATGTGAAATACTATCAAGGGTGGGACTGCTTCATGGAGGAGAAATTGCATAATCAAAAAATACATTTTATTGTAATTGTATTTGTTTTGCTATGTCCAGAATTCAACCTCTGGTTGGAAACAGAATGCACACAGGACTTCAGTCATATCAGAATCATTTGTGTATTTATTTTTGTTTACCTATGGAATTTATCAAAAAAAATGTGAGTTCAACAATCCTACAACTTTTTTTAATATATTTTAGAGGATTAAATCCTAAATTTCAGAATTATTTTCTTTACACACTTGGGGATTTTGTTTGTTTGTTTTTGTTTTTACTTGACTGCTTCCAAGATTACTTTTAGTGATTTTTCTGAGGCAAGGACTAAAAGAAACTTTTAGAAGATTTTCATAAAAAATTCAAAAAACCAAACGTGGCAACTTTCATCTTATACTCAAGAAAAGATGAACTTAATATTTTTAATATGGCCAGTTTGATTTTTTTTGTCTGTTATCCAAACTAATCTCCTCTTTTCTAGCCACGTTGC